TTCCCCCCCCCCCCCCGCCCTTGAAAATCCCCTGGCCTCCCTTACCCCCCAGTGTCTTATGTCCATTGGTTATGCTTATATGCATGCATACAAGTCCTTCGGTTGATCTCTTACCCCCCTCCCTCCTGCTCCCCAACCCTCCCCGGCCTTCCCGCTGCAGTTTGACATTCAGTTTGAGGCAGCTCTGCCTCTGTATCTATTATTGTTCAAAAGTTTGTAATGGTCTTTATTATCCATGAATGAGTGAGATCATGTGGTATTTTTACTTCATTGACTGGCTTATTTCACGCCTGACCCGGGGCTGCACCTAGGGATTGGGCCTGCCCTCTGCCACCTGAGAGCAGGCCTAAGCCAGCAGGTCGTTATCTCCTGAGCGGTCCCAGACTGCGAGAAGGCACAGGCCAGGCTGAGGGACCCCCTCTCCCCCCGAGTGCACAAATTTTTGTGCACTGGGCCTCTAGTTGGTTATATTAGGATTTGAATTCTGTGCAAATGAGGAAACTGGGGTCTGCTTAAAGACACCCCTAACTAGTGGCCAAATCAAATTCCCATTTCCATTTTAGTGTTCTTTCTATGATATTCCATTGCCTTCATATCTGTGGTACCTACTGCATATGTAAGGGGGCATTTGCCTTGAGCTGCTCATTAAGTAATGAGAGGGAATGGGGCAGGGTGGGAGGCTGGGGTCCACAGGGCTGCTGCTGGGGGCTTTCTCAGGCTCACCACAAAGCCATCCTCAAGGTGGCCATCAAATAGGATCGATCATTCAGTGAGCTCAGTTCAAAAGCTTCACAATGTGACAATGGAAATTGACTTGATTTAGCTTCAAAGATTCTATTAACTCAGAGAAATGATGATTTTCTGGGAGAATTTATACACAGCCACTGGTGGGGAACGGAAATGACTTTGGCGTTTTGAAATATCTTTTAACTCAACTCTTAGATCTAGGTATAAGACATAAAATATTATAGCTTCGATTCCTGGCCCTCTGATATGCACATTTCAGAGCCAGATGATTACATCTTGATTCTAATTACAAAGGAAATGCAGAATTGGCAGTAAGCTCATTTTATAAGGTTGCAAAATAACCTGCTTCAGAAATTAGCAACCAGTGAATCTTCCTAAACACCCTATATGCGTGTGTATCTGAGGGGGAATTACTTGCTTGAGACACATGACCTTCACTTCTAAGGTCAAAGTACATTGAAATGATGAGAAATGAATAGTAGTATATTACTGAATTCCAAACTATATATTTTCTCTCTTTGCCTCCTTGTTCTTCTCCTCATTGCAATGAAAACCCAAAACAAGAAAAAGCTCAACCCTGGCCAATGTGGCTCAATTGGTTGAGCATCGTCCCATGTACTGAGAGGTCATGGGTTCAATTTCTGGTCGGAGCACATATCCAGGTTGTGGGCTCCATCCCCAGTAGGGGGTGTGCAGGAGGCAGCCGATCCATGTTTCACTCGCACATTGATGTCTTTCTCTTCCTTCCTCTCTCTCTAAAATCAACAAAAAACATATTTTTTTTAAAAAAGAAAAAAATAGTCCAAATTCCTGAATTTTTAACAAACTTTTTATTTGAAAGTAGTTTTAAACTTACAGGAAAACTGCAATGAAACTAGCACACCTGTGTGTCCTTTACCTAGAATCTCCTGTGAACATTTTTACCACATTTGCTTTAACATTGATATTCTCTCTCTCTCTCTCTCTCTCTCTCTCTCTCTCTCTCTCTCACAACACCCACATGAATTTTTTCTCACTCATTTGAGAATAAGTTATATACATCATGACCTTTTACTCCTAAATATTTCAGAGTGTGTTTCCTAATAATAGGGATATCGCCCCAGAGAACCACAGTGCAGGTATGGGCTTCGCTGGATTTACCAGCTATGCTTTGGACAAATCTACCCATTCACATTCCAATTTTATCAATGGACCCAAGGATGTTCTTCAGAGAAATGTCCCCCGCTCCAGCCCTGGATCCAGCATAGAGCCGGGTGTTGGCTTTAGCGGTCAGGTCTCCTCAGCTTTCTTTGATCGGGAACACAGCCATCTTTGCCTTTTACAATGTTGACCTTTTTGAACAATAGAGTCCGCTCCCGGCCTTTTTAAGTACGAAGTTCATGATTTTGAGTTTGCCTGGTAATGTGTCTCATAGGTAGATCCGGGTGATGCATTCGCAGCCGGAATACTAAAGAGAGTGACGCTGTGTCCTTGGCAGGGTGTCACATCTGGGGGCACGCCGTGTCCATCTGCCCCTCACTGACCACCTGCTCAAGGTGCAATCCAGGTCTCCACTGTGTAATTACTGCCCCCTCCCCTGGCAACTAATAAGCAACATATGGGAAGGCGCTTTAAGAACATCCGAGTAGCTGGCTCTTTCTTTGTAGAATTGTAGCAGCTATTGATGATTCCTGTTTGATTCTGTCATCTTACTGTGAGGGTTGCGAAATGATTTTCCTACTCCACACACGCTTCACATTTATCAGTTGGAGCCCAAGATTCTGCTGTAAGCGAGAGCCCTCCCTTCGCTCCATTTGTTTATTTTTGGTATTAACTCACAAATGATCTCTCCCCCAAACCCCAGTGGTGTCTAGCTCATCGTTGTCCTTAAATATTTCGGTAGTCAAGTTGTTCCAGATCTGGCCATTGATAGCCCCTACAAGCTGGCTTCTTTGCCATGCCTATATTATTCTTTTGAACACTTCCTTACTTTCTGGCATAAACAGATGTTCCAGGTCCATCTTTTACCTCCCTTGCTTCCTTCTCCTGCCCCTCAGGGATTCCTGGGTTTTGACTTAGATTTGTGACAAACGTCAGCGTGAAAACCCTGGGCTCACCTGACACCTTGCTCTGAAGGTCAAGGTCTCTGAGTTTTTGCCTTTGCCAGTGTCACCTTCTTCCTGGTCCAAGGTCATTTCAAATGTCATTTCCACTTTACTCCAGATAGCCACCCCTGGGCCAATTTAATTGTTCCCTTACGTGTGTGTGCTTCAGCTTCCCCAACAGTAAACTATGGATGGTAATGAATAGAAGCGGCCCCACAGGGCTGTTACGCGGATTAAAGGAGCCAATATTTGTAAAGCACCTAGGAGAGTGCCCGGCACATGGTAGGGGTTATATAAATGTTCGTTAAGTACAACAGTCCTGCCACTGCAATTCAACTCCAAGTCTTCAGACGGTGAAGTTCCCAGCCACTGCTCTATCTTAACTGTGGAATTTCAAGATTCCCCGAGAAGCAGTAGTAATATTAGAGACAGCAATGACAGGAAGCTGGTTCTGGGCATAAGATTACTGAGGCGAGAGGGAGCAAACGTTTCGGCGAACTGCTGACTTAAGGCATGGACCAGGGAAGGGGGCAGGCACCCGGTTCTTCTGACTCCGGTCTAGGGCACCTGGGTGACACACTCGGGCAAAAATCACCAGGGTGGACTCTGGGAGCTGGTTCCCTGGAAGTCTCTCTCTCTCTCTCTCTCTCTCTCTCTCTCTCTCTCTCTCTCTCTCTCTCTCTCCAGAAGTCTCTTTATATGTCCTTCCTCTCAAGTCAGTTGTGGGTTAGGCATTTGGGCTCCTGGGATGACTTACCACAAGGACTCTCAATTCTGCAAGATTGTGCCATGGACAAAAGGAAAATGTTCATCATTGCTTTATTGAGGATGGCAAAGGTATTGGCTGAGTTATTTAATCTTCTGTGTGTTGTACTGCCTCAGGGATTACGAATGAAGTTTACCCTTCCAAGGGGAGAAACATTTTTATTTTCACCTAATACTGCTTATAAAATAGTTGCATAGCTAAAATCTATTGCTATTGTCGTTACAATTAATGTTGGTATAATTAAAAATAGTGGATTGAATTCTGATTATAATTCGAGAACCGCATCCCCTTTGTTGATTTATTTTTTAAAGTATGTTTTTATTCATTTTAGAGAGAGAGGAAGGGAGAGGAAGAAACATTGATTGCTGCCTCCTGCACACCCCCTACTGGGGATTGAGCCCCAAACCCCACCATGTGCCCGACTGGGGATTGAACCAGTGACCTCTCTCAGGTGCACAGGGTGATGCTCAACCAACTGAGCCACACTGGTCAGGGCCCCTTTGGTGATTCAGAACAAACATCCCCTCACTGGCAGCACCCTACTGCCACCTGAGTTGAAATGCAATGTAATTAGATTAGTTTTAAATAGGCCACCTTAAGCAGCCAGATTTCCCAACCACTTTTACAGACCAAGAGAGCCACCTCTTAATTATTTCTCCTCTAGAAGAAATCAAATAAACCTTAGTGGTGGAAGTTCTAAAGAAATATCATAGTTAATTAACTGTAGAAATAGATGCCTGTTTCTGATGTCTTAATAACTAAACATATTAAGACTGCTTGCCAATTTGTATTGAACAAATGAAAAGAATGTCCACCTAGGTTAGTCTTTCATTGGGACAGTCTTGAGAGGTGACGACCAGCAGGTGGCGCTCAGAGTCAGTTCTCGGAGACCAGAATAGCGTGAATGGGGGAAAAAAATCCGCACCAAGGAAGGTGCCTGCTTTAAATCCTCAAAGCGAGGTTCTCTTAACCACTTGTCATAAAATACCCTGAGACACCCGTCTGGGAAAATCGAAGTGTCAAGCTCAGCATCTTTGCCACATTTCAAACTAGGTAATTACCTTCTCTCCCAAAGGGAATCTGTTTTATGTATTTGTGTCCTTTCTAGGTTATAGGTTTCCCAAAGGCAATGATCTTCCGTTTACTTCGTACAATGCTGAAGTGAAATGTGTGTCTTACAATAACAATTTAATTATTCCCCATCCCTCCGAGCTACATGATGACCTGTTATATAATTGCCAGTAATATAGAAATGTGCCTGCCTCGTACAAACCCGGGCAATAAACGGAACTTTTTATTTGACCTAAAAGTAAATTGCTTATTTACTTCTCCTTTACAATATAAAAAGCCATTTCCCCGCCACCCCCAATTTGTTAAGTCATTATCAAATAAACAACACTACATTTTAGTCTCGTCGTTTTTATTGTCTGCAGAGGTTTGGTGTTTTGTTGTTTTGTTTTTTTAACTACACACAACAAATACTTTGATAGAATCTAAAATAACAAAATAGTTGAACAACCTTTTTTTTTAGATTTACATTTGTATAGAAACGATCTGTGGAACTCCTCACCTCAAAACTAAGGTATCTGAAAACAGGGATTCATCAGTGTCGCTTTAAATAAGTGTGTGGTTAAGAGTCGCAGTTCCCATTTTCAACTGAAATGTGTGTCTCTGCTGCTTCCCTTAGGTCCAGAGCTTAAGGCCTTGGGAAGGTGGCCGAGGGAAAAAGGGTGGCTGCTCTCCTATCCTTCTCGTGTGTGGAGGACAGTGATTGGAACAGGGTTGTCATGGAAGCCAGGAAGTAAAGGAATCAATGGCACATCTCTAGTCGCCAAGGGTCAAAGTCGTAGCGCGTCTTTCCACAACTCCCTATCTGTAGATGTAAAGTTCCGTCATGACGGCCCAAAGGCTGTCCCCTCCCCAAACGCTCCCTGCCTTCGCTAATCATGTCAGTTATTATGGGTAGGCTGTGGCTACGGTCCATACGTCCTCCCCAAAGGCCGGTCATTTTGTCACATTTAGGTGTCATTTTTTGCATTATGTCACTTAGATGCTGTGTCGTGTGCCCAGATAGGGTCTACCACCCGCTAAGAAATGCCTCACCCGCCCTCGAATCCCCAAAGCGCCTAAGAGTGAAGACGCCCTGGAGACAGTGACTTCGGTGGAGCGCCTCCCAGAGATGCCTAGATCATGCCATTGATCTTAGTCCACTCGTAGATGTCCTGCTCGCACACGATGTCGGAGTTGATGAGCAGGTATCTGTCGCCCACGCAGAAATGCTTCTGGCAGGCGGCACATTTGAAACACTCCAGGTGATACACTTTGTCTTTCACCCGCATCGTCATCTCATAGGCACGGATCCGCTTGTCGCAGGAGGCGCAGAGACCATCTTGGCCAAAAAGCCTGGGGGAGGAGGGGGCAGAGAAAGAGAGACAAGCTGAGAAGACTGGCAGAGACACTGGCAGAAAGGGCTTGAGGAGGAGGCTGAATTTCCAAGATGTCAGGAAGCAAGGAGTTGGGCTCACACAGATGACCGACGCGTACAGCCTTTCCTGCGGTTTCTGGGATGAAACCGTAATCTGTGGCGTTTGTGTTTGGCATAACTGGCCCCTCTTCTGAGCTCTCTCCCTGCCTGCAGCACCCCCTCCCCCCAAAACACACACACACACACACACACACACACACACACACACACACACCTCTAGGCTGCCCCGGGCCCTCCTCTGTGGAAAAGACTCACCGGAAGGGATCTAAGTTCAGAGGTTAGGCATGTATCCCGTGTCCCCTCCCAGGGGGACCTGCATCTTAGAGGAGAAGCTGCAGTAAACCCCTGGGGGACCCGCTGACAGAGAATTGACCAAGAATGTAACGAATTGGGCATCTTTCAGAGGCTCTCAAGTTCTATCATGTCAACAGCTACTAATTCCATAAGCTACCGAGGCCACCTCCACGTGACTGTCCACGGGGCCCCCGGCTTCTGGGAGACAGAGGGGGTTGGACAGAAAGCACGTGGTACAGTTAATCAGCCTCGGAGACCTAGAGGACAAAGAGCATCTCTCTACGTTGAACGGAAGATCTTAATTCAAGGTCCTCGCTGCCCCGTTGCCATGAATCTTTGGAGAAACTTCTGACATTGAAATAAAGACTCTCCTACGTCTCCATAGACCAGTCAATGAATATTTCACTAGACCAGTCTCTGAATATTTTAAGCACTATCCTGTGACAATGTGGGAGATGCGCACAGTGGAGCCAAATGCCGTGGTTCTCCTAGTGCGGTCCTGGGACCACCAGCATTTGCACCCCCTGGGAATGTGTCAGCAATGCACATGCTCAGGTTCCCCTGCTTGAGACCCTCGTTGGCGGGGGTGAGGCCCAGCGTTCTGTGTGTTAACGAGCACTTACAGGTGATTCTGGAAGTTAGGGAAGCAGCCTGCAAGAGTGGATGAGTATCCCAAGTACTGGAATCAGAAGAGCCAGGGGTAGTCAGTCCAGGAGTCCCCCTGAGCGCCTGTGGCTCTGGGGAGACCTCTGGTTCCCGTGAGCTGTGAAAGGGCAGTGAGCAGAGCATCTACCTCACTCCGCTGCTAGAGGATCTAAGGGAGTATGTCACAGCACCAACGGCCAAGGGCTAAGCCAACACTGGTTGTGTCTTAACACATCTCGGGTCTTCCCAACTGCACCAGTCCAGCAACAGGAAGTCATTTTCACACATGCCTGATAGCGTGGCCTTTTAGCAGGTCCTTTTCACATAAAACCTTTAGGACAATTTTAGGTAAGTGCTTGTTCTTACTGGAAGTTCTTATTAACTTCAGAATAGCAGGGGATCAATCGGTACTGTCTGAGAGGTTGTAGGGCAGATAAGGGCAATTGAAAAATTAGGAAACATTTGGGCGAAATTTAACGGGATGAAGCAGACCTGGTCTGAGGGCAGAGAGCTCCCTGCTAGAGCCAGGGCCAGCTCGGTTCCCTCTGAATCCCGCTTCCCATTGGAAGAGCTTGGGCGTTTTCAAGGCACCACCTGGGAGCAAGCGAACTCATTACTGTGGGAGAACATTCTATCCCAGCGTAGCAGATGGCGGAGCGGTAGGAAACTTGCCACCTTGGAGGTCACAGAGTGGAAAGGCAATTCTGGTTTCCTGACTGTTCAGTAAGTTGAGTTTGGGCCTGAGCAAGGCTCAACGACTCACAAAACAGTATGCGTGAAATGAAGCCAACCGCCTGGGGTGTGTGACCCTTAAGGAAGGACAGCGTTTATTAAAGGGAAGTCGGGGGTAAATTACAAGACACATCAGGCAGCTAATGAAGGGAAGGCCGAAGGAGTAACATTTGGGAGACAAGTTCAGGTCTAGTTAGCATCGCCTCTAACAAGCCAGGTGCCCCGGAGCATAGGACTCCTCTCTCCCGGCTTCTGCGTCTTGAGTTGGGCAGCAAGGGGACTGGAAGCCAAGGCCTCTGCAGCCCCTTCCAGCTCAGGTATTGGGAGGTTCTTGCTCAGAGTAAAAATACACTAGGACTTGATGTCTAACGTGAGCATTCAGCGCTGGCACTGAGAACTGGGGCCTCAGGCCGGAGATCCCAGACGCAGAGCCCCTGAGGATGTGTTCTTGGGAAACCGGATAGGGCAGTGGTCGGCCAACTGCGGCTCGCGAGCCGCATGGGGCTCTTTGGCCCCTTGAATGTGGCTCTTCCACAAAATACCGACTTCTGCGCATGGGCCACGAAGTTTCAATCGCACTGTACGTGCGCTCCCGCACGTGGTATTTTGTGGAAGAGCCACACTCAAAGGGCCAAAGAGCTGCATGTGGCTCGCGAGCTGCAGTTTGCCAACCACTGGGCTAGGGGGCAAGGACACTGGACAGAAGGCAAGTGAGGTGCACACAACTGCATCTTGGGCTGAGTCCCTGGTGGTGGGGGGCGGGGAGGGGGAGCTCTGGCCAGTCGGCAAGAGGACTCTGAGGTGTAAGTTATGTCTCCAGGTCACCCTGGCTCCAGGCACCAGGCAAGGGGCAGGGTCTTGGTGCTCCCCCCGCGCAGGTCATTGGTTCAGGTGATCTGGGCATCTGGGGGGAGTGGGCAGGCTTCTGGCTGTAACAGATGCAGGTGCTGGCTGTTGACAGGGAAACCACTGGGTTGGTGGGCGCCCTGCACACAAAAATTGGTAAAAAGAGACCAGAAGGGATGTGGGCCAGCACTCACAGTAACAGCTACTGTTACGTTCCCAACAACACAACACAACACAACACAACACAACACAACACAACACAACACAACACAACACAACCGTGCAGGCTTTAGGCCCCGCGTGGTGTCTCATGAATATTTGAGGCTAAATGTCTGGAAAAGACTGTAACTGGCAAGTAGGCCATTGGAGATCTTCAGGAGAAGTTATCCCAGTGTGGAGACCTGAACCCCATCATAGGACCCCTTGAGTCTCCAGCATGCCCTTGTTAAGTCACTGACAGATACCTTACAAACAAGTTCGTGGCTAAAGGGCCATCCCGAAGCAAAAATAAAAATATTTTTCTCCCCTGTCAAGAGGTGTCACGTCTTAAGCCTTCTCCTGCCCATTTTAATAACAATAATATAAATATTAAAAGATGGCTGGAACCGCCTGCACTAACACAGTTAATTAACATGTTGCCTAGGAATGTAGCAGGGAGAAGAATTATTTCATGTCACCAAGACACAAGTTAATTAACATTGGGTTCTCCCAGACTATTTCTTTCTCTCCTTTTTTAAAAATGGAAAAGATTAACAAGGCCAGGCAGCACCGGGTTTATTCTTGAATGTTATAGAAAACCGTAGAGATAGGAGAAGCCCTGGCTCTTCTGACCTTACTCTCCCGGCACTTCATTTAATAAGATTCAAATGATTTGACAGGGATGTAGTCAGGGGGCCCAATGGGAATCATTTGCTCGTCTGCCTTCTGCATCGACTTGGCAAACCGGTCGCGAGCAAAATCAGGTCTCTATTTATCCCGATTCTATTTCCTTTTGTAACTTATAAGAAATTGACCAAAAAGATAATCATGATCACTGAAAACCCTACTTATTTTCTTTGAATCACCAAATTTGCAAGGACTTTATCAGGGAATTTAGGGGGAGGAAAGCTTATCCTATCAGCCTCTTGGTAAGCAGATAAGCTTTCTTCACTGTGGAATTGTCTGCAATTTTTTTTTAATGTAAAATGCTCAGCAGCATGGGCTGGGGAGGAAGAGCTGGCCTGGCAGCCAAGGGCACTGGAGTCTAAACAAGCTTTGCAGGGTTGGGTGGTCCTCGTGTATTAGGGCTGCATGCTCCACGGACCCTCTGCCACAGGAAGATGGCAAAAAACTGACAGCTACACAGTTGAGCAGAATTGACAATAGAGGGCACAGAGTTACCTCCACAGCAGCTAATGTGAAACTGGAAATTCTAGAACATTCCGGGCAAAGGCACTCATTGAGTGCTGGAAGGCGCAAATGGCCAATAGTATATATGACCTGGAGCATTAGAGAGGTCCTCAGTGGTTGTCTCAGTAGAGGTCCTATTTGCCCCTCCATGCTCCCATCTCTTTGTTCTTTAGACAGATGTCTTTTTTTATAACAATATATATATTTTATATGTGTATTTTATTGATTTCAGAGAGGAAGGGAGAGGGAGAGAGAGAGAGAGAAACATCAATGATAAGAGAGAATCATTGATTGGCTGCCTCCTGCACGCCCCCTATTGGGGATCGAGCCCACAACCCGGGCATGTGCCCTTAACTGGAATCGAACCAGGGACCCTTCAGTCCGCAGCCCAACGCTCTATCCACTGAGCCAAACCAGCTAGGGCAGCAGGAGAAGTCTTAATGGCAATGTCAGGAGGGTCAGTTACAAGAGCAGCTAACATCTATTTGGTATTTGTGCACCAAGTCAGGCACCTTACCTGTATTACCCCATCTAACCCTCACCTCCTCCTTGGAAGTAGGTATTGCTATTATCCCCATTTTACAGATAAGGAAATCGAGGCTTAGGAAAGTTAAGTAACTGACCCAGGTCCCAGAGCTAGAAAGCAGTGGTGCCAGGGCTCAAACCTACAACTGACTTCAGGGCCTTCCTACGGTGACAGTCAAATTCTTGGAGCGCCATAGTGGGAACATGCTTTCTATTTTTCAGTTTCTCCTCCCATCACATTGGAGTCATACAAAGGAATAGTTATAACCGATAGGTATGCTTTGAAGCATTACATGAGCTCCTAAGAGCCCACCCTCACACTTATGAAGTATTTTGAATTTTACGTTTATCGTTCTCTTGCCTTTAAACTATTTGTCTTTTTACTCCCATAGGAATGGATGGAAACCTGCTTCCCAAACAGGAAGAAATGCCAACTGCTTCTCTGCATGGGGCCGCGGAGACAGCCTCTGCAGCCTGAGCTCATTCTGGCAGGCGCCCCGCAGACGGACCCAGACTCCGATGTCTGTGGACACCGGCCTCCCTGCTGAGGGCCCCGAGGGTGGCGAGGAGGGTACCTGAGATAGTCCCTCCGGCAGAGCTTGCGGCCCAGCTTGTAGTAGAGGCGCCGCCCCACCTCGCCCAGCCGGCACCCGCAGAGGTCACAGCTGAGGCAGTCCTCGTGCCAGTACTGGTCGATGGCCTTCAGAAAGTAGCGGTCCCCGATGTTCTGCTGGCAGCCTCCACATGTCAGCAGGGACGGGGGGATCTGCAGCACCTCATCCACGGGCTCCCTAGGAAGAAGGCCGAGCATTAGGGACGAACTCATGGTGGTGAGACAAGCACCCAAGGTCAGGAATCACTCTGGGCCAACAAACAGGGAGCCTCACGCAATGGTCTGTCGGTGACATAGAGAAAGGACAGGACAACCTACCCACAGGCTGGACTGCAGAGGGGCCCTGCCAGCCCTGGGTTAGGACAGGAGACCCTTTAAGAAGTAAATGCAGCCCAGCTGGCTCAGTGGTTGAGTGTCAACCTATGAACCAGGAGGTCACAGTTCGATTCCTGGTCAGGGCACATGCCCGGGTTGTGGGCTCAATCCCCAGTGTGGGGTTTGCAGGAGGCAGCCGATCAGTGATCCTCTGTCATCATTGATGTTTCTCTCTCTCTCTCTCTCTCTCTCTCTCTCTCTCTCTCTCTCTCTCCCTCTTCCTTCCTCTCTCAAATCAATTTTTTTTAAGAAGAAGAAGTAAATGCAGGGCACCAAGAGGCACCCAAGACAACTGTAGGTGGTACTACCCCCTTCCCAGCCCAGCACCATCCTCACACCTCCAATCCACCTTCTCTTTCCTACTCTCCCCTCCTATTCTCCTTTCCTCTCTCCACATTTCTCCTTCTTTTCCCTCCTCTCATACCAGGACCCAAGTGCACTGCTGAACCCCAAAGGAGGCATTTGGACTGAACAGTTGCTTACTGCCAGGACAGCTGACTATTTAGGCTAAAAACCTGCAAATTTCCTATGGAATCTACCTGCCACCCTACCTCAAGTCCTTCCCTGCACAAAAGCAGAGGTGAAGAAGAAAGTGACCAAAAGTGATCATTTTAGTTTTTCTTTTCAAGATACAAATTCCCTCAGGACATAATAGGAAGTCTCATTATTTTATTTTATTTTGTTACAGAAATTCCTTATTCCGTCCTTCTTACCTAACGAATCCTTGGAGAACAATCCCAGGTGTGAAGGCCATTGTTAAACTTATAAAGACATCAAATAGACCTTCCTGCATGTGAAATTCTTTACGACAGCAAAACTGGTTTGGATAAAGTTGATTTAGAAAAGAAAATGGGGAGAAGGCAACAATTATTTTCAAGGGAGTGGAAGGCAATTAGACTCTAAAATCTCCATCCAGGCAGTTAACAGTGAGCTCGCGGTACGTGTTCTTTCATTAAAAAGTCATACAGCTTCTGACTTTGCTTAACTCGAATCTGAATACTTCTGTTTTTACATTTTAAAATAGATGACGTTATTTGCCAAAGGAAAAAAAAGAGTAGAAGAAATGATTCTAGCACCAAATGGGACACAGGAAAGACCCAATACCTGTTGATTTGTAATAATTAACAAGTGCTCTTTGAACCTTACTCAAACACGAATCTACTTTTAAAGTATCTATTCTGTACTTTTTTTTTTTAATAGACCTGCTTCCAACTGGGAAATTCCCAAGGGGAAATTACCCCCGGGTACCTTGAGGGTATAACTCTGTATCTCCTAACTGGCACTATCCTACCGGGTGACCTTGTGGCTTCACTGGCCTGTGCCCACCGAGCTCGGCACCCATTACACTTAGGGACTATGAGGCCCAGGTCATCTGTGTTGGTGACACACTGTGACAGCTTCAGGTGGCTCTGTCTGTACGTGCACCCCTCCCTGTGACTCTGTGGGAAAACTGAAACCAAGCCCACACTTTGTAGATGGAGTGTCAAGATCCTTCATGAGATTATTTCCTTTTAGGACAAGGAAGTGTGAAACCCGAGCCAGTTTTCTTCTAAAAACTCCAGACTTTAAAATAGTTTTAAGAGTTCGCCGAAGCCTGACTTGCTTTTCTTTGTTTCCACGGGTTAGACATAAATAAGGCTTTCCATTCTTCCTTCTGAAAAAAAATAATGTCCCCAGCCTTTTCCTGTGCATCAACTCAGAATTGCATCACTTCTCTTTCCACAGTCCCTGGTCTTACTCGGGGCTTTCAGAAACACTAAGGTCGTGGTCGACAAACTGCGACAAACTGCGGCTCGCGAGCCACACGCGGCTCTTTGGCCCCTTGAGTGTGGCTCTTCCTAAGCCTTAGGAGTACCCTAATGAAGTTAATAACAATGTACCTACCTATATAGTTTAAGTTTAAAAAATTTGGCTCTCAAAAGAAATTTCAATCGTTGTACTGTTGACATTTGGCTCTGTTGACTAATGAGTTTGCCGACCACTGCACTAGGGGAACCTCAACATCGCTGGATGCCTTGATGCTGATGCTGCCAGCTCGAGAGCCACACTCGGCTCTTTGACCCCTTGAGTGTGGCTCTTCCTAAGCCTTAGGAGTACCCTAATGAAGTTAATAACAATGTACCTACCTATATAGTTTAATTTTAGAAATTTGGCTCTCAAAAGAAATTTCAATCGTTGTACTGTTGACATTTGGCTCCGTTGACTAATGAGTTTGCCGACCACTGCACTAAGGGAACCTCAACATCGCTGGATGCCTTGATGCTGATGCTGCCAGCCAACTGTGAGAGAGGAGAATTTGCACTTAGCCGGTGCAAAAACTGTTGGAATTAAAATGAATTTCTCTTGTTACTCACGGGGAGGTGCTGGGGCCACCGACTGCATAGTAGAGAAAACCCGCGTTCATGGATTCTGGCTGTCTTTCTGTCTAAACACTTCATTTGCATATGCCTAGGCAAGTTTCTATCTGTGATTTGGCGATGCTGGTCACACTGACCCAACTTGGCTTTGAGTAAGTACACAGTGAAGCTGGTAGGACAGTGGTCTACAGTAGAGATATTAAGCAAAACAGCTATTGTGATGGCCCGAGATAGGAAAGGACAGGATAAGATATTGGCTCTATCTATCTTCCTATAATTAATGACAATACCGTATTATCTTTGGTGGATGCTCCAAGCCAATAACTGTGTGGGATTCACCTTCCAATTAATATTTCATAATCCCCCTAGAACCTATCTGAATATTACACCTGAGTGCACCTCATCCAGGATTTCTGGGATAATTTCCTGACAGTTTCTGAGAGCGAGGGGATGTGCTGCAGTAATTCCTCAGCAAGCTGGTCCATCTTCCATTAGCGCCTATCCTCCTTGGGCCAAGGGTGGGCACAGGATGGAGTAAGCATCCTTCAGTAGGTGCCTGCTGTGTTATGAGGTTAGAATGTTTCAATTTCCTAATCTCAGTGAAAAAGCACAAACTTTAAAAAGGGCAAACTTCCTTCAGGGAACTGAAACCGGAAACCGCCAGATTTATCTTCTAATAAAAGGATTAGTGGCTACATTCGGCTGATCTATCCAATTCACTCTTATGGTCTTGCCCAGCCTCTAAGAACTCAGAGCTAAGTTGGAATTCTAGGTTTGTAGGGGAGAAAAAAAAAAAGTGAGCAAACCACCCTTTAAACCTAGTGTCCGCATATGTATGAAAAGGAATGTTATTTTTCTCCTGAGAATATAAGGAAGCTGGGTGTTGTTGTTTTTTTGTTAGAACAAACCTAACTCGGTATAGAACTGGTGCCTGAACCTTCAAGATTGAATAGTGATGTTTATATTCTCATTGGATCATGGCACTTCCTGTGTTTTATGAGAACATGCTGAGCTTTTATGCTGGTAACCGAGGGTAAAACCCAGGTATATAAACACCATAGAAGGCTGAAATGGGGGGGAAGGGGAGACTTCAATCAGGAAAGCACAATTCTTTTAAAGCAGGAAAAGGAAAGAAAACAAAACAAAACAAATGCCTCTTAAAAGCACAAATGGACAAGTCATTAACCAGCTCCTTTGGTCTGTGTAACAAATCCCTTCAAAGGATTAGATGGGGGACTTCAAAGGAATAAAAATTCTCAAAACCAGACAGCTAATGAATCTTAAAAGGGCATTTGCGCGGACGGGAAAACGGTGTTTTAAACAACCCTTTCCCCCCACGTTAACACTAGGGGCTGGGCTGGAGGCGCAGGGGCTGGGCGCAGGGAAACACTTCCAACCAGTAAGCGGCTCAGAAAGCAGATGCGGCAAAAGCTCCTGAGAGCTCTGACCCCAACCCCTCGGAGGCTGTGATGAAAGCTGTGAGGCTCCGATCCCCAGAAACATTCACCTAGACACCAACTGTGCACTAACTTTCCAGGTTCACAGGCCCCCATCGGAGGACTCCCCTCCCCTCCGGCGGCCAGAGCGAGCTCGGAGGTGGACGCTCATACCCCCTCCCCCGCCGGTCCCGGCTCTGCTGGCCGCTGCTCCACCTGCGGACCGGGAAGGAGGCCGGGAAGTGGGCTGTCGGGCGCTGGGAAAGCCCCCCCTGGGAATGTCCCCCTTTCCAGGACCAAATGGACAAAGAGAAAGGGTTCCGAGCAGGAGCGAGAGGGGCGAAGGGCGCAGAACCAAGCCCTCGGCGCTCTCGGGACTGCACCTGCGCGCCTCCGCGCTCCCCCGGTACCCGCTCCGGTGCAAACTTTCTGGCCCGCGGTGGCTTTGGGGAGCCTCCCGGGGAGAGGGGAGCAACCCGCACGGGCGCACGGGCGCCAGGCTGACCCCCTCTCCCTCCCGCCCGCCGCCCAGCCCCCTTCCCAGTCCCCCCAGGTTCGCCGCGAGCAAGGAGAGCCCCGAGCGAGGCAGAGGGAGCCAAGGGCACGCCGCGGGCGCGCACCTGGAGCCTTGGCGCCAGCCGCCCCGCTCCCCGCCTCCCAGGGGCGCGAGGTCGCGGGTACCGCGCTCCCCGGTGGCAGGGGCGCTACACTTACTCAGACGAGTCCAGGCTCTTCCTCTCGATGGCCGAGGACATTGGGGAGGGAGGTGGCGTGCCAGGCGGCGGGGGCGCTCCCTTTGTGGCTCGGTGCTGGCCGGCGGCCGGGACTCGGACCCCCTCGGGTGCTCGGGCGCCGCCGCTCCTGCGCCTCTTCTGGCCGGGGCGCTCCGGCGGCGAGCTCGCCCCTCCGCGCTCAAGGACAGTCACCGCGCTCCCTTCAAACGCCAAAGAGAGAGAGCGAATCACCGGGCTGCCGGCGCGCCGCGGCCGAGGCGGGGGACCGGGGCGCGCAGCCTGGCCCCGGCGGCTGCAGCTGCTGCTGCTGCTCAGGACTTAACCTTCCATCCCGGTCCCGCCGGCCGCCACCGCCGCCGCCCGGTCCGGCTCGGCTCGCGCGCGGTCGCACGCTCTGCGCCGCCCGCGGGATGGTGCGCGCCCGCCTGGCCGCCCGGAGCCCCTCGCACCTTCCCCCC